TATGATATCACTTATATGTGGAATCCAAAAAATACAATAAAATAAAAAAATAAGGACACAAATGAACTACTTATTATTTATAACTTAGATGATTGATTTCTTGAATATGTGTAAGCACATTTGACTGTCCTTTATGATTGGATTACCGCATTCTGTTGATTCTTATTTTATGGTTGGCTTTATTCCTTTGATAACCATGTAAGTTTAAAAACCTAAAGCTCTAAACTGTTCTTAGAAACAATGACCAGTACACATATGTAAACTAAAAAAAGTGTGCAGTATATTTTATATATGTATTTACAAGCAATATAATGTATATGTGAAGTCAAATTGTAATAATTCTACCTAATAAAACTGAAAATGGAAAAAAAATTTATTTTGCTATGTTAGAGGTTTATCTTTATAGAAAAAGCAAGGCTGACTGACTTAAGTGTAAAATACTTAGAATCTTAGCTAGGAAAATCCATATAAAGTTTCATAATTCAAGGAACCATCTAGCAGCAGCTATTTAATTTGCAGGCAAAATGTCTAGGGAGACTTAAGAGCCAGTCTTGTAAGATCGCACCTGTTAAGTGGCATCCAGTGTTTCATATTCCTACCACAATGGCTGATCACCTTCTTAAAAAGATACTTAACAGGGAGCTTTAACTACCCTGGGCTCCTTTAACTACATTATTATTTATAAAATCTCTGCACTCCCAAAAAAGTTGGCTGTAAAGTAAAATTTCATAATCAAACCGTATTTCCCACTGATTCAACTACTTAGTTAAGCAAGGATATAGCACCTACCAGACCTAAGATGCTCAGATGATTATTTCCCTACATGTTATCTGTGGGTAAGAAAGAGAAGAGCTTTTGCTTGCCAGCACAGTGGGGGGGATAATACAGGGATAAATCAGAGAGAAGTCAGTATCCCTCTCATCACACGGGCAGAAGCCCTGCCGTTTATCAAACAGCCCTACCAGTAACAAAGTAATAAAGAACAGTTTTGTTCTTTCAATGATCTAGTTTCTAATAGTAAAGCTCCATATTTTAAATTGCCACAGCAGAAAGGACATCCCCATTAGGGAGGAGTGACCACAAAAGATAGTATTTTGTTGTTGTTGTTCACATAGCTAATTATTATGATATAATTAATTAACAAGGCACTTGATAAACAGAAAGCCATTAGCCTGCACTGTGCTAACAGTCAAAGGGATACAGAGCTGACAATCTAATAAAAGAGACAAAATCAATATACATAAAACAATGAAAGACAGGGCCAAATATATAACTTGTAGCTGAAATGCAAGAACCTTTGCTCGTATTAAAAACAATTCATTTTGATAAAATTAATACAATTTTATAGGTCAAAACATATGATATTAAGTTGTAATAAGTCTCCTTACTTGAGCTTTCAGGGTTTGTAGTTGTCCTTCGTAATTCTGAGTCATTGCTAAGTTACATTTTTCCAAACTGTCCAACTTCTGTCTAAGTATCCCCACCTGCATTAAGAATAAAATTTAATTTTGATTTTTTCAAAATTTTGCCTGATAAAAATCAGAAAGTGTGCAAAAGAGGAGTGCAATTCAAATAAAACCACCATACCAAACCAAGAATAAATATTTGCCCTATGGATCTTAAAATACTTATTAATAATTAAATTCACAAAAACCAAACATTGCGAGCACTATTCTGCTGGGTACACATTAGGACAGTACAGCGTAGATGCGTAGATGCCTGATGGAAGATCCCTCTCATCATCACATTTTAACTTGAGGTCTGGAGTTGACTTTGCGTTATCTTTTTGGGAGGCCTCTGCTTACACCCCCGCCTGTATCTGAGGCGCTGCTGCCTTCAATGGGAGCTCTGCTTTAGTGGTACTGTGGAGTAAGTGTTACATTTTTATAAGAACTAACAAATTAAAAAGAAAAAGAACACTGTCTAAGGAGGAGTTCTTAGGCATCTGGCTTACAGAATTTGCTTAAAAAGCAGACGAGGCCCCTGTTTGCACATCTGTGTCATCACAGGTATAGAAGTGAGAAACTGGTGCCTTGTATATGCCAGATCTGATGACCTGCCTCTACTATGAAGGGAAACCAGATGCTGATAACTAAGTTAACCAGGCTAAACAATAACACAGTTAACTATTCCAAAAGCTAAGTTCCACTGAGAAGCCAACAGAGGTAGAAAAACAGCTGCTGAACAAATTGACTGATGATGTTTCATTTAGTACATGAAACCTCAGTAAACCTCATCTTATGCCTTGCCCAAAGAAAAATGCAGACACCAAAGTGTATTTTAGGTGAAGCATATGGTTTTCCTTAAGTCCCCTGCAGGCCCGAGAGCACTTAGACCTCCTGCTACCATCACCAGCTTGGCCATAAGTGGCCTCTTGGGGGCCCAGGACATTTGTCCTAAGTGGGCACCCAAGTATACACACATCTCCTTCAACGAATTCTTTCCTTTCCTTCCCTATAATCAAGGGTTGACTTTTCACTTCTTTCTGGAAAGATTTTGTTTTAGCAGATGAGAAGAGGCAAATACTCCTGAACTCCGCTTTCTCCAAAGACACAGCTTTGATGACACAGCTATGATTCTACAGCAGCAAAAGCACTAACATCTCCGCTTGCAAACAATATTTATTTCCCATACAAACTAAATGTTTTTTACTTTCCTAGGTGGCATTGACATTGTACGTCTGTCTGCACTGGCAAATTACTGTGGGTTTAGGCTCTGCCTGTCACTTATTTGATAGAACACATTTGGCACACTAAGAATTTCAAGCCATAATAAATACTATTGCTGATGCCTGATGAAAAGTATATATAATGAAAAATAAATATTATTTATAACAGTCTGAAGAGGGGGGAGGATATAGCTCAAGTAGTAGAGCACGTTCTCAGCATACACAAGGTCCTGGGTTCAATCCCCTGTACCTCCTCTAAAAGTAAATAAATAAATAAATACATACATACATACATACATACATACATACATACATACATCTAATCACCTCCCCTAACAAAAACAGTCCAAGGAATTACCAACATAGTAATACATCTGTGCAGTACCTCTTGACCTTTCTGATCCAAACAAGTTTGTGCACTTGCCAACTCTTGATCCCGAAGATCTAATCGTGTCTCCAGAGCTCGCATCTTCCTTTCCCAATCCAATTTCTTGTTGCTTACCATGATGTCAATCTGTTCCATTAACTCCTGAAGCTCAGCCTCACAAGGAGAAGCTCTGGCAATTGTAGCAAAGGAAAATATATTTGAGAAGAGCAAAATGTGAGGACAAGAAAAAGTATGATATTGCTTTGAACAGCTTGATCACCATTTCCTCAAATTGTTCATTTATTTAAATAGGAAGACTTCCAAAAACAAGAGGTTAATATTTTAAATTTAAACTAAAAATCTAATTTCAGAGCTAACAGTGTATATATTTTTTAATTTTTAAAAGTATAGTTGCTGCCATAATATAATGCAATTTGTTGATAAAGTCACTGCCTTCATTTCTCTTATGATGTGCAAAAAGTTTTGATGTGACCCAAAAGTTTTGACTTAAGGGAGTCCTAAAATGAAAAAAAAAATGTTGCATAAATTATGTCAGAAATATGGCCACAATAAAGACAGTTTAACAATAATAATTTTTAGAGTGAGATAATTATAAGGGAAATTCTAATTATGAAAAAGGACCCCATGCTCTTACATGTAAATACACATATCCTATGTTTATCATAACTGAAGGAGGTTTGACAGCAGGCAACCTGGGGCTTCAGCCGTGCCTGCCAGGGACAGGGGAGCAAGGCCAGGCCAGGTAGGACCAGATTCAAAGGTACTACACCTGGGCTACACTGCTGCCTTTCCAGTAGAGAGACTTGGCATGATCTGGCTGGTGGTGTCGTTTTGGAAGGAATCTAACTGGTCAGGGGTGGGCAGACTCATATTAGGTTTTAGACAATGGAGATACCACTAGTCAGATAGGTGGCAACATCTTGGGTCTAAGAAGGTCTACTGTATTTGAAATAAGACCCTTGGTGATGACTAGAATTGTAGTGACTGAGAGTTGGTGAGGTTGCTGGGTGCTCCCAGGCAGGGTTCTCCTTCAAAGAAGCTGAAGCCTTCCCCGAGGACCTGGTATAAGTCTAGGCACTCAGACTGGACAAGCAGGTAGATGTTGAAGCCTCAGACTTCAGCCTAAGGAACACACAAGTGTTCAGATTAGAAAAGCAAGTTATTTCAGTATCCATTCAACGGTGGTGATGGGGCTTCTGATGTATTTGTGTAGCTGGGAGGAAGGCAGGAGAAGCAGGTGTAAAATGACATCATTTCCTCCACTTAGCTTCACCAAATCAGAATTTTAGGGCTAATTAAGAATCATTTGGCATTTTGAAAAAACTGACGTACAGAGAGACATCAAGGTCACATATTAATTAGTGGAAGAGCCAGAACTAGATTCTAGGCAGTTGCTTCATATCTTAATTAAGCACCTTCCTGTATACCACACAGCAGGACATGGTGTTTCGAATAAGAACTTGCTTACAGAATGCAGTACAAGTTAGCTGAATTGTGGTAAGGTTAGAAACAGGTATTTGAACTCGAAGAACTCAGAATTTCCAGAATCACTTTCTAAAACACCCAGAGGCAAACTGAACAAGGAATGTCCCTTTGGTTTATTCAACAGCGGATTCAGCAGGTTTGACATCAGAGAGGTTTTAAGTACAAAGTGCCATTCTGAAGTCTTTCTAGCGTTCCTGGGCTAAGGCCCAAAGGTGCTCAATTTTTACTTGAAACCTAAACAAACCTGAGAAAAGGAAGCACTAATTCCTATAAATAACTTGATTGCCTTTTAATTGAGGTTTCTGATGTGGGGAAAAACAGCAGAACAAAAGGAATGGTTTTCACACATTCTTTTTTATAACAACACACATTACCCTTTACTGTAAATACATTTTGTCTATTTTTTTTCTGCTCGTGTTAGCTCTGAAAGAAAACGGATTGTATCAGTCTATCTGACCAGGGCTTAGCACACAGCAGCTGCTCAGCACACCCTTGAAGAGTGAACAAGTGAGTTTTTCCATTGCTATCTTCTTGGCATATAGGAATGTACTGTGCTAATGGAATTAAAATATAGGACTAAAGTGGAGTGTGGCATAATATGAGCTACTCAATACTGTCAAGCAAATGAATGAATGGTTTATTTCCTGGCTATACAAAAGCCAGACTTTTACACTTCAGGGTGGGAGGACTTTTACAGGTTTTCCAGTCCAACTACCCATTCAGTGTTTGCATAGAATCATCCATCATACCCAACTGATCAGATTCAGCAAGTCTAGGGCAGAGACCAGATTCTCCACTGGTATCAAAGGCATCAGGGGATTGCAGTGTATGTCAAAGTCTGTAATCTATTTTGCAGTATCACTGTCAAGAGGTCATCCAGCCTAATTACTGAATTAGAGCTAAAAGTAGATATTTCTCAGGCACTATTTTTTTGTCCAAAAAATGTTATTTCCCATCATCACTATGTTTGCTGACACAGCAGCACTGCAATGACTATTTTTACTGCATTATTTGAATGGTGGCTCATATTTTCAGTCCATTCATCTCTTTCATTTGTGGTAAGCTTAATGTTGGGATGCAGAACTATAAATCCCATTATTCCAGTAAAGCATGCTTAAATGTACTTATAAAGGCCTTACTCTAAAGCCTTCATCATAATTATCAAGGAAGGACATTTATAGAAAGAAAATGTAATGTCATAGCTTCCAAGTCTCTATCAATGTTTTATCAGAATTCTAGGTACATACAAATTTAAAATCTCATTTTTTATGTTCTAAAATAAAAGAAAGTTCTACTAAAAAACCTACACCACAGATAAACTTTTTCTTGAAACTTTTCCATAACTATTCACATTGTGAGTAACATCTTGGTTCACAGATCAAATGAGGTAAAGAGATAGTGAAACACTAGCAAGCACTGATTCTCTTTCTTCAGGGGGATTTTTACAATTATCTAGACGTATAAATAATTTCATTATACTCACAAACTTACATACCTGAAAAATTACTTCATATTAATACACTGAAACATATAATATAATTAATAACAAACAAATGTTTAATAACACAGGCATTAGCTTGGACTCTATAAGCCAGTCCCTAAGGCAATTACAATGCCCTCCTGCCAAAAGTCTATTTGATGAGAGACTGCAGTGCTAGCACATGGGAGGATAGATGTTTTACCCTTTTCCTATTTAAAACTACAGCCGGCTATTTATTTCTCTGGATACAAACAGCAAAGAATTAGGCAAACACTGATATAATCAGTTTTTCTACTGCTAGAAAACTAAGAAATACACTGTTCCCTAAATGTTGGAAATTTCTAATGAACCTTCTAATGCCAGCTTGTTCTGGTAACTTCCAAATCTGCATCTTCAGTCTGAGCTCCCGAGCTCCAGATTTCTGAAACCAACTACTTATTCCACACTGACGTTCCCAGGGCATGTCCAAAGGCATCTCAATCTTCACAAGTTCAAAGCAGTGCTCGACTCCCAGCACCACAAACCTGCTCCCACTCCAGTCCACTCCATCTCCTTAATTGGCACCAGTGCTACAGTTGCTTAAGATTAAAACCCTTCATGATCCTAGATTTGTGTCTCCTTCAAACCCCAGAACAACAGTCCTACTGGCACTGCCTCCAATAAATATCCTACATTCTGACCACTTCTCACCATATCCAGTGACAAAATCCTGGTCTGAATCATCCTCATCACCTTCCTGCTTCCATTATTATCTCCTATGTGGCTAGTTGTCTACTCAACATCCATCTTTCTTTTCTTCCAAACCAACAGATCTCTGATGTTATTCACTGTGGAAATGTGTCCAGCTAAAAACACAGCTGCATTTCCCAGGCTCCCGTGGTGCTAGGCATAGCCATGTGACAAAATCTGGCCTGTGACATGTAAACAGAAGTTGCCATGAAGCTATTGAAAGGAAAGCCACAGCAGCTGCCACTGGCATCCTACATACCCTCACAATACCACTTCAGGGCGCTCGGCCTGATTGCCAGTGGACAGGACCTGCACTTCTTTGAGTGTCTTCTCTTGCTACTGGAGTCCTCTTTGCCACCTGTGTGATAGGCCAGAAGTGACATGGAACTGAATCCTCCCAGGAGCAAACTTCAACCAATGATCATCAGTTATTGGTGTAGACTCACTTGCTCCATGGATGGGATAACTGAGGGGTGTGGCTTATACTGGGTTCCAGAGTTTCCCATCAGAATTTCACCCCAGTCACCCCCTGCGGTAGCTGGTTTGGTATCTTGCTCTTCCTTATTTCACCTCTCCATTCCCATAGATGATAGATGGGAAAATGGCCCCCAAAGAACAAGTTCCCTGGAACTTGTAAATGTTATTTTCTTTGGAAGAAAGTTCTTTGTATAAATTAAGGGTCTTGAGATGGGGAGATTATCCTAGATTACCTGGGTGGGTCCTAAGAAAGAGGCAGACGGAAATTTGATACACACAGGAGAAGGGAATATGAACGAGACAGATGTGAAGATGCAGCCTTAAAGATCAGAATGGTGCAGCCACAAGCCAAGGAATGCTGGCAGTCACCAGAAGCTGGAAGAAGCAAGGAGCAGATTCTCCCCTCAAGCACCTGGAGGGAACAAAACCCTGCTGACAACTTGATTTGGGGCCAGTGTTACTGATTTCGGACTTCTGGACCCCAGAACTGTAAGTGAATAAGCTTCGGTTGTTTCAAGCCAGCAAGTTTGTCATATAGCAGTTTCATCTCCCAAATAAATTACTTGTATCCAAATCCTTGTTTCAGGGCTTTGGCTTCCACAGGAATCCCAAATAAAATGCTCACACACACTCTTTTGTTTTTACCCATTGCCCTTCCTCTGCTCCCTTCCTGGAAGGCAGATGTGATGCTGGAGGTGGTTTAACCATCTTGCAATCATTAGGTGACAACAAACAATAAAGCCACATACTGAGGGTGATGAAGCAGAAAGACACATCTAGACTTGTAGAAACAGCTGATCATTTGAGCTTCCCTTGGATGTGTGACAGGCATCGCAAACAGGCTTGCCTTCTCTCCAGTCTTCCTTATTTTGATGTGGCAATCTTATCCTTGCAGCCAGTGGACCAAAAGCCTTTGGATCAACCTTTGCTTCTCTCCTTGCACACCCCACAACCAATCTATGGTCTCCTAAGTATTATCAGCTCTTCTGTCACAACAG